TGAGGAGGTGGTGCAGGATTTTGGACCTTCAACTTGTTTTTGTTTTCCCACTCTGGTGGCCCCAATGTTAACGAGGGAGAACGAGGGCAGCAAGAAAAGTGTGCGCAAAGTGGTGCAGGATTTTGTCCATCAACAGTATGTAACAACCCCATTCATTCTCACGTACGTTCACATATCCCAGACACTCCATGTAGGCCATACCCAAACGCTCCATGTATGCCATATATGCCTACATTGGGGTGGTTTGAGGGGTCAATGTAGGCATATATGCCATACATGGAGTGTCTGGGTACGCTTATTCAACAAAAAACACGGTGCTTATCCCTCACCAGGCTCCTTGGGCCCCGTGACCTACGGCGTTCTTTTAGAGTTCGGCTTCGGCTACTCCGAGAAGCAACGGCGCTGGCACGCCAGGCCGGTCGGGGGTTTTGTGGGACGGGGAGAGAGGAGAGGGGCTCGGTCGGAACGGCAGAGTCCAGCGGAGTAGATGGTGACTACCTTGTGTTCTGTGGAAATGGTCTCTACATCCGTTGAGGGGGCCACTAGTATGGTTTGAGATGGTCAGGTTTTTAAGATATCATATTGGCACATGGGCACATGGGGATGTTTGATGACATTTTGAAGTCCAATGGTAGAGGTTCTGAAGTCTAAAGGCTCAAGATATCAACTAAATTGCCTGAGGTGCAGCTCTAGAAGTTTTACGGGAGTATCAAGTTGACAGAGGGGCAAGGGCCGGGTTCCTTATGACTCTGACCATAGCCCTGCTTGATAGCAGCCTCTTCCACCAGGTGGGGGTACCCCAGACCCACATATCGACTTGGTGCACATGATCCTTGCTGACCAACCGGATGTGCAGCGAAGGAACCTCCACCGGTTCGATGGCGGCCCCCAGGGCCGGTGGACGGTGCCAGTGCCATCCTCTGAAACCAGTGGGGTCACTTTAGAGTGCCATCTCTGTCGTTCGTGTTGGGGTGCCAGTGCCAATCATATTTAGAGTGGGCTCACTTTTGACTACTTTAGACCAGCCCATCCCGAAATTTCTTTGCAATGGGCTCTCCGTGGCAACTGGCCACCCAGCCGGGTCTCGCAGTGGTGGAGCACCCAGCCGTGCCAAGGCAAGTGGTGCCACCCACCTGGGTTTTAAGCAGTGTGGAGGATGCTTCTGTACAGCTGGCTTTGCGTGAAATTGGCCTACTGGAAGCTGGGACTGGCGGGAAAGGATGAGACACAGGGCTGTTTGGTGGTTTGGTGGTCGACGGACACACCGGGCAGGGTTGACGGCCATGGAAAGAGGGAAAGGATGAGAAGGGGAGAGAACTGATCCGGACGTGCTGGCATGGCCTTTTGGATGACCATGTCGTTCCCTACAAACGGGTGGTCTACCTCTTCCCATGAATCTTTCAGGGATTGCAAAAAGCACCTTAAGGCTCAAATGCCCACGTCCTCCCAGTTTTTTTTGTTTTCCCTCGCGCGGCCTTCAGAGAGAGGGAACGTTTTCCGGTGGTGGTGGTTAACCGAGTTGGTTTCAACGAGTGCCAAATCACTTTCGGTCAGAATTATCGTGGCCACCTGGGATGTCAGGGTAGTCCCGCAGCATGATAGGTTGCCAGGGGCAGAAGTCCAGCGAGGGGCGCCCCAGTTCTGAACATGTATGATGAGTATGCATGCAGGTGGCCATATCGTGATCCAAAAATAGATAGAAACGGTTTCCAATACATTTTACTTTTCTACCTACTATTTATATATATAGGGGACTTGAGTGGTTCACTTTTGTGAATGCCAAGGCGATAATTAATGGACACAATGTTTACAGATGGCCATTCTTTTGCCAAGACCCTTCGCTCTTTGTTCAGAAGACCTGCACCACAGAGTTGAGTTCACCCCCCGTGTTCATATACAAACAGGATAAACATCTCCCATTTGAGGTGATTTTCTCAGCTACTCGCCTCCCCCAAAAGAAACATAGAAACTGTTCCCGCCAGCACCTGCAAGCGCATTTTCTGCCAACCCTCCTGACATACATGCACATCTTCCACATACCACATACCACCTTCCGCTACTCAGGATGAGAGCCAAGCCTTCTGGGCCTTGTTGCTTCCGGAGTCCGAAATGCGCGCCGTGGAGCGCCTCTTGGAACGAGGAGGGAACGGCATGTCGAATCGGGATCGGAGTCGGTCATGATCGACTCCGAACCCCACATGGAACAGGTCCCTGGAGGTGGATATTCACCCACCCCCAACAAGTTGAGAAGCTCCTGAGGCATTCAGTCATGCCCTGAGGCATTCAGGCGCTTGAAATGGTGGCCCTTAACAGGTCTTTTTCTAGCGCCACAAGCAGGCTGTCACGAAGCTCCTAGACCCGAGACGCAAACGTGCAGAAGTTCAGGGCTTCCCCGCACGGCAGATCCCATCCACAGAATTTCAATCACCAGGGGTCACATAGTGACTGGATGAGTCCCTAAGTGACTGGATGTTCTGGGCACCCCTAACCTCGAATAGGCACCCCGTCTTGTGACTCCTGGCGCATGCCCTAAACCGCAGAGTCGACCGTGGACCCTGAAAACCACAGAGGGTCGTCATGTTGGCTTGGCATGGTTCGATGAGCCATGTCCAGCATCAGCCCATGCCGATGCCACCGAAAAGACACAACATGTTCATTATTTAATAAAAACATATATAATTATCATATTATTGTCCATCAATCTCCACCTGTTGAAGTTGAAGATGTCGCCCCTTTCATTGCCCCTTCTAAACAGGATCATGTGATTGAGCGGCTTTGCGGCGCTCGCTGCTGAGGCCTCACGGATTGTCAGCGAAAGGCGTTGGCCAATGTGCGGCGCACCTGCACCAAAAGCCACGAGGACGCTTTGCCAGAGGCAGGGAAGTTGGCCAAATTGACCCCTAAACATTCCCTGACGTTCAATGATATTCATGAGGTTCTTCTTTTTAACACATGCTGAACACATGGCGAGCTCGCATGCTTTCAGCGCCAGACGGCGCGTTCCGAGCCATCGGTCGACCCACCTTGTACCTTTGTCGGTTCGAATCACGGGGAGTCGTTCCTTGATCGACTGAACATGCCAAGGGCCAAGACAGGACTGGGACTGCCATATTTGCCTTACGTTGAAGTGGGTTTAAGGGATGAATGTGGGCCGCTTCCATACATGGAGTGTTTTTTGCTTGCAACATGCTTTGAGGATGTTTGAAGTGGATTTGGATATATTTGGAGTTGTTTTTGCTCTCCGCAGCTGCGCCATACCAAGAGCATTCCCAGCTTCTAAAGAGCCCGCCAGAGCTCGCGCGCTGGCACCAGACCCCAACCGTCGGCGCGGGCTGCGCACACTCTACGCGCGTGTGGGGGCGCGTGTGGCGCACCGTGCGACAGGTCAAGGAGCGTTTCGAGAAGCTGGGCTTCACCGGTCGAGAGCTGGAAACCACCCTCGGCTGGATCCAGGCACGTGGGACACCAGTGCCGCAGCATGGGACGGATGTTTGGCGGTTGGGTGGTTTTCTTGTGAAGCTTCCCCTGGGTGCGGTGGAGGTGACACATGGCTTTGTCATCGTGTGTGTGTGTGTGTGTGTCCTATTTGTTGGAGAGGCCATGGTTAGGCCCACATGGTTTAGGATGTGCATTCTGCCATGCCCAGGTAACTGTTTGTAGATTTGCATGTGTACCGTACCATGTACCCTTTGGCCCTGTGACTCACTGACATGGAAGTGGAAAACTTCCGCTTGTAAGGGAAAGCACTCTTCCAATGGACCATGCCATCCATTGCCATTGCATGCCATCCATTGCCATTGTATGTGTTCGTCAGAGCGTTTTCATGTGAGATGAAAGACCAAGAAAGGAACCCTCATTCGCTGCCGGTCGCTTCGCGGCCCTCATCCAACTGCTTCTCCACATCCAACCGACTGGGAGAGCGCCAACGGGCGCGCGCCCACTTGTGCGCCCACTGCAACGCGTTGCATTAACGCGTGTTCACGAGACAGGATATGGCACCGGTGTGTATCCACGTGAATTTGGACCGCATGGGGCACTTCATGGAGAGCGATGAGCTGCCCGATGCAGACGAGGGAAGAGGAGGAAGAGCGATGGGTTCGGACCCAAACACTCCATGGGACGGAATAGATGCCTACATTGACACCTGAAACCACCCCGAGGCAGGAAAAACATCCAGACTCATCCAGACATTTTTGGGTTAAGGACCTTCAGAACGCATAGCATGTGATTCACATCCACCAGACACGAACAGCTCACACCCCAACAGGTGGGCCTCTCACCATCTCTCACCCAACAGCTGGGCCTCACACCCCAAAAATAGCTGGGGCGATGTTCGGCGTGGAAGCGAAATGACTTCAGCTGATGGAATCAACTGATGCTTCGGATGTGCAACAGCACCCCCCGGGCCGGCGGGGCTGCCATGGCATGGAGCGGTGGCATGGCATCCAGAGCTTTGCTGCCGGGTGTTTTGAGACAGAACCCGGCTGACTTGGTGATTTAGATCTATGATAGGTGATAGGAGGAATTATCATCATACATCATTATGTTGTTTTACAAGACTGAAGAACATTTGAGTCACCAGTGGGATTGATTCTACGCCTGTGGTGTCACATACATTCTGTTGGACACCACCAGGCCAGGGTTTCTTTTTCGTTATCCGGTGAGTTTTGCGTGTGCACGTGGGCGAAGCAGAAGAACTTTGCCACACACACCACGTGGAACACCCCTTTGCTCCCTGCTGGGAATTCGTTTGGAAGATCCGATGTATTTGTGCTTCGCCGTCTTTTCAAAAAACCGTGGATTGAGAGTAGATGGCACGTTTCCCCCAAGATGTCTTTGAGAAGAAGGGGTCCACTACTCCATGAATCTTGGGGGCCCAGACGTACCATCTCAACCCACCAGCGCTACCCACAGTCAGCTCGTCCTAAACCGTCCTAAACAGCCCGCTGGACGTCCCAGGTTCTACCGGAACCAGTTCGAGACCAAGACCTCCAACGGAGCGTTGGATCCGGAGCCCGGGACGAAGCGAAGATGTGGACGGAGCTGAAGATACATGCATCCATATACTACGTCCAGATGCATGGGATTTGTAGAAAATGCTGGACTTCTTGTTTTGTTGGGCAACAACAAGTCCTATATATCTCATTTTGACCTGTTTTTTTTCATGAGTGGACTTCTTCAAGGGGTGAGAGATGAATGATTCATGGATGCAAAAAGGTCGACACGTTTCCTATCAATTTCCATGTGGCACAGTTTGGATGCAGTTGAAAGACAGTGTCGCTCCGAAATAGTCTCTCGAGGTCTTTCAGCTAACTCTCCTTTGTGGTCCCCTTTTCCTACTCAAGTGAGGGAAAGGAAGGTCACCTTCAGGTATCCTAAACTTTGACTCTAAGGGAATCCATACTGAAGCTGAGACATTGAGTTGCTGCAGTTTGTTTAATTAATATTAATTAAGTTATTTTTGTTGTTCAATTTTGTCCTGAAGAGTCGTAAAGGATAATCAATCCTCAAAACTGATTAAGCTTCTTGGTTGCAAGGTTGATTCATCTTCACGAAAACAACTCTTCAGTGGTGCCATTCATTGCATCCCTGCCAGCTAAGAGACAATAGCTGATAGATACCTAGCAGATCAACATGGTCAAAACCACTGGGCTTGTAGCGGAACATGGTCGAAACCAAGGGTTTCGACCTTCTCGACCTTCCATGGGATCCTTTGTGTGCAGTTGGTCATCGATACTTCACATATTTCTGTCTTGTGTCGGACTCCAACCTGGGTGAAACATGGTGAAGCAGTGGCAACATGGTGAAGCATCCGACCTGGAACAAAGCTCCCAGCCAGAGCCAGATGTGTGTTGGTACTGTAGATATTTGTATATAGATGTTTCCAAGCAAGAAAGTTTTGCCAAGCACAGGTTGTTTCCTGATGTGTTTTGTCTTCTAGGTGGCATGCTTGTAGGTATGCCATTTGACAAAACATTACAAAAACAATATGTTCGACAATGCTTGGCAGCAGCATGTGATTTTGGCCTAAGGAGAACAACACTCGAAAGCTCCTGGGCTGATGGAAGCGTTTGCAGAGCACAAACCATTTGGACCTCAGGGTGTCCTGACCGTAGAAATCCACTGCCATGTTCTCACCAGGTCAGATTCAACCTCCTGTCACCGACATGGACAGTGTCTCCCTGGCAGTGGATCCTGAGGGTTTTTAAGCAGACACAAAGGCCAAAGGCCCTGTGATCAGACCGAACGTGGACCGTCGCAGTCCTATTACAGTTCGTTGCTTTTGTACGATCTCACGGGGTGTGTGGCACATTGTTGTGCAAGACTAACATGGACACCAACTGTTGGTGTGACCATTGCTATTAACCAAGGGAAGAACATGAAGGCATGCCGAATCACACTTCTCAAATGATTGTGGAAGAAACACGTTGCGATATGCTGACATCACATTCAAGGCAAACAAACGTTTTCCAAATTTATTATATATATATATAATTAGTCACAGGGGAGGAAGGCGGTGCAGGTTGGCATTGCGCAATATCCTTCCAACGAAAGAGCAGCTCAGGCATCAACCTCTTGACCCAAGTTGTTCATCCTGGTTAAAAAGGGCAATCCCCGATATCCCACAAGGGCTGGTGAATAGATGCCCCTTAATTATCTAGCTAGTCTAACACTTACGAAGCAGTTGAACAGGCAAGCCGAGTTTATGAATACGATCATTAGATTTACAATTTATAAAGCATCCATCGAAAATAAACAAACATATACACAAATATAACAATTATATATCTGGGGGGAATCCTCCTTCCACCTCCCTACCCTGTCTCTTCCCACCTCGACGTCTCCGCTCAGGGGATGGGAGCGAGAGCTCTTCGACCACGCCTACGAGGACGCCAAGGGCTTTGACCGAGTGAAGTACGGCGCACTGTGCCTCGACCGTGCGTGACCAGGAACGCTTCACCGTGACCGGGTCAACGCGTGACAGGGTGGCGCGGGTGGAGCGGGGTGACGCGGTCTGAGCAGTTCGATCTTCCCAGACACGACCCGTCTGGGACTGCCATAGGGCTGCCGCCCCATTCACCCCCAAAATAACCACCCCAATTGATCAGCATATATGGCAGTCCCATGGAGTGCCTGGGTATGTTTTGAAGTGATTTGGGCAGTTTCACTGGCACAAGTAAGGGACAAGTAATCCTACCACCCAGTTGAGTCTTTTTGATGAGGAGAGCAAGGCAAAGGAGTTAGTTTGGTAGGAGAATTTGTGGCAAACATGAGTCACTCAGATTTAGTGTGAGAAAATATAGCCAATGCAACAGGAACCATATTTTTGAAGCAATGAAGTGGATTTGAGAAAATGTATGGTGCTCGTGTTGGTATGTGGCCAAATTCAATTGTAGTTATAGATGTTTTTTGGAGAACGGCTGGTGGCGTTGCTATTCACACCACAAACAGGCCTAGACAGCCCTTGCTCCTGAGGCCTAGCGAAGATTCAGGGGAACGGACCGGCAATTCTTCCGGACCATGACATACCAACATCTCGGACCTTCCCAACTGAAGCGTAAGCAGGAGCGAGTTGACATTGACATACCAGGACCCTCCGTTGAGGGGTGTCTATTTATAGCCCCGAAAAGCCGTTTTTCGGGGTTAACTGGGGGTCCTGTTAGGGGCTTAATCATACATCTTGCACATCTCAACTGCTCACACGGTGGTCGGCCACCGAGCCGAGAGCTGAGCCGAGGAATGTCATGAACGACTATCGAGGCCGGGGAAGCTGACCCGACGACTTGGTGATCAGTGGATGGAAATCAGAGGACTTCAAGATGGGGACGAGCTTTTTTCCCTGGTTTTGCTATGTCTATGTCGCTATGTTTTGCTGATTTCAATTGGGATATAGAAAAAAGTGTAGCATATAAAGTATATCCCTACTAATTAAGAATGTATTGGACACCATTTCTATCTGTTTGGGGCCACTATATCGTGATTATTCATGATCCTTTGCTTCGGGTGATTGTTTGGTTGATCACAATGCCTCGAGCACAAATCCATTTAGACCCGCCTGTTAGGGACAGCCGAGGCAAAAAAACACTGTGCCACTCGGCTAAAGCGAAGAACATCCACTCGATGTTGCGCAGGGTTCAACCATAGGAACTTGATTGTCTCCATGGTCTAGTTACTAGTTTCCCCATGCCACCGGTGGAACATGGTGGTTTTGTCGGATTCGTAGGTAGGTGGTACACACACACACGTCATATAACTATAATCTAAGGATATAATTGATTTAGAGGGGCCTATCACTGCCCTTTAGGAAGGTGTATACCTCTTTCCGACCTCCAGGATCTTGCCAATGTTGGCCCAACCAGGTGTGGTGAAAGCTCGGCAGTACGGCGATTCCTACCTCGTGCTCAAGGATGTGCGCTTGCGCTGCACCATGTGCTCCACTGATTCTGGAGGCCAGCGATGGAACGCTGTGAGGACTTAGGTGGGTGAGGTGGGTGAGGACTGCGCACTCAGCTGCTATGGACTCCAAGGGCACATTTTTGAGTCCTACACTCTGAATCACTACCTTTTGAAGGCAAAGCCCAGTGCTTGGTGCTGAAAGTTTGTAACTTTTTCCTTTCCGAGCGCCATGTTCACATCCACGAATCGCGCGCGATATATGTTATATAGGGTCTTATACGTGCAAGCTGCATGCGTGTTTTTCTTTCGTAAACTGGCGACGTCGTCGTGGGAGTCTTGATGTGTTTGGGGCAGGTTGATTGATGTCGATCGGCTTTAAAGGGAGGTTGTTGGACCAGACCCTCACGGCCGGAGCCATGGACCGAAGTTAGTAACTTTAGTATAGACCCTGGAAGTCAAAGGCCATTTTTTCGATATGGTTCATCTGGTTTTGAAGTGTAAAACCCTTAGATACCCTTAGTAAAACAATGGTTTGTTTGGTGAAGGCTATTGAATAAATGGTGGTTCGACTTCTAGGGGTTCTATAGTCAAGGAGTGCGTCAAAGACTTCCAATGCCAAAAGGTCCGGGTCAAGCAGCCAAGTTGTGTGAGTGTTTGGGTGTTTCAGCGACTCCTTGTGGCTGATCGTATGCAATCGTATGCGCACAGCAGATCCACTGCTTTCTTTGAACCCACTTGGGGACCAAATGCAAATGACCAGCGGTTGAGTCGAGCCTTTAGCTGTCCAGGCTCGGGCCGTCGCATACTCTTACTACTTTAGCTACTTTATTTTCTCTCCTGGTCCAGGTTTTTCCATCGAATGCAGCTAGGGACCTCCGCAATCTCCCCAAGGACTCCAACTACACAGCCTCCAAAATGAAAACCACACATTGGCTCCTCTTCAAACCGCACCCTTTTTCTGAAGAAACCGCCCCCCCAGGCTACCACCGAGCCAAACACACCGAGACCGAGGCATGCGGCACAATCGCTTGGGCGTGTTGGACAAGTATGCACACGTGCTTCTTGGCGTTGGCGAAGAAGACACGTGCCACGCGCCACACGGATAGACGGTGGATTCAGAGAGCGGTCAGAGGTCTGACGCGCTAGAAACGAGACAGCGCGCGCGATTAACACGACGGTCTGTCTACACTTGGAAGTGGACACCGCGACACGCTGGGCTCCTTCAAGCAACGGGAAGTGGCAGCTTGCTGGAAGATCCCTTAGCAGGACTTTGTAGCTTTCCACGTCAGCCTTGACCGGGGGATCATCAAGAACGGCAAACAATCGCCTGAACTCATGTAAAGGTTCGCTTGAGGTCCATCAAAACAATCCATGAATAGTTCTTGTTTTTGGAGGATTGCTTGCCTCCTTGCATTGCACTTTCAATGCATGGTGGGATCATTTGGTATGTATGGTCGTAGCCTCGGACCGCGGAAGCGCGACTGTGTCGCTTTCTGTTTTGTCGCCGAATCGCCGCCGCCCGAATCACGACTTCACCCATGGTACTCCGAACGAGGCTCAAGGAGTACAACGAGCGCGAGCTCAAGGAGCCGGAGAACACAAAAACACACCAGAGAGAGTCCCCAGTTACATGTGCAAGAGAGGTTGAGAGACCTAGTGGTACACAGGGGAAGGGCTAAATAGGGCTGAAACCACCCCCCCCTGAAGAGGTTTTACAATCCAAATGCTGTGATAAATCAAGATTCTACATTGCTGTTTGGGCCCCACAACTTTTTGTTACATAGGGTACATATAGATTAAACCTCCTAGCTTGGGGATTGTTCCATCTACTCTCAATCCACCTATACCCTCCTTGAACAAATCATGGAAGTGGGGTGGCCCCGAAAGGAGGACCATGAAATGCTGTGGAAATAGCTTTGGTTTTACTCAGGGCGATGTTTATGGTGCCTAGGGGTGAATCCCCAGACCTGGGAATCCAAGATACACCACCTCCACTGCCCGCCTGATTCAGCTGCTGACTGGCAGGGACTGGTGGAGGTGGCCATGAACGCGACCGCGCCCTCCGACACCATGGCACCTTCAAGTCCGGAGCTCTTGCGGGGCACCACCGCGGACCCCTTGCAGCTTGGAGGCTAGAAGTACCTGGACGGTACTGGTAGACTCTTGATGATAAAACCTCTTCCTATGGGGTCTTGAAAGATCATCAAGCGTCTACATTGGCTTTGGGCAGGATGGGTTTGTCACAACGGGGTTGGAGTAGGTTGGAGTTTTGGACGTGTCGCCCTATAAGTGCTTGGACCACCACGGCCCGCGTGTCCAGTGCAATTCCCCATGCAGTGTAGGACGGTCCAGTGGACATCCGTTGGATAGTCCTGGTAGTAGGTATAGAATCAGATCAACCAAGTAAATTCCATGCTTAAAGATGTGTTGGAACAGTCTCCAGCTGTTTGTCGACGAGTACCGTACATGGCCACCAGCGGCATTTGCCGCATGTTCTTTACTTTTTGCATTGCCTGCGAGCCTCCAACGCACCTTCACACTCATTGGGGTACACATGTTGATGCTTCCTATACACTGGGTCGCCAGTGGACGACCCTTTCTGTAGGTCTCTAGGTCTGACACCATCAGGAAGACCTAGGACCTAGTCCTAGGTATTGTGATGTGCTGGCCTCACCCCTTCCATCCAACACACCTGACTCTCGCTGGGCTTGGACGGAGAAGTGACGACGGTGTTCGACCGCGAACTGCCGTGTGAGACGGTGTTCACGTGTCAGTGGTATTCAGTGGACCGACTCGGTGCTTGAGAGATGTTGAGGTGAGATGGCCTCAAGAGATCACCATGGTGTATGGAATGAGTATATATATATATATGGGTATACATCATGTTTGTACACTTGGGTCCTATCATTGGGTTTTGGGGCCCAGATCTGTCCAGATCATGTTCTGTTCACACAGTCGTTCTTTGTTTCTCAAAGGGTCTTGATTGTTGAGTCACTTGTTCTTGTGAGAGGTGACCTTTTTGCGCACCCGTTTGGGCACGGCGTTTGGTAGGAAGACTGGAGCTGGGGTGCCGTGCTGAGGAAAGATTGGATCACCATCGGCTTCCCCCACTTAGCACAAGACAGTGGCCAGTGGTTCTTTGAGGTCCATTTGCATGAGGCGCAGGGGTGAGAGGATGTAGAGCTGCGGCGGAAAAAGGATGAAAAAGGTGGTTTGGTCCAGGGTTTGCATACATTTGCATTGCATGTAGAAGAAGGAACGGTGCATTTCCGTATGATTTCCTCCGAAGTCCGCTGGTGGAGTTTTGTTGGGGGTATTGCAAGAGGGACTGACACCCTGGGATTCAAAGCACCATGTACTTTGTGGGTTTTCACCAGGCAACCATTGTTGTACTAAGGCAGGATCTTGCCTACAAAACCAGCTCAACATGTTTTTATGATCGGTCTTGGAAGGCTTGGAAGGCTGCGACGAGACGAGTGAAACGGACGGTAACGCAGTACGTCACGCACGGCAGGACTGTGCAGCGCCTCAAGTGGGCCTTCTAAGCAGCCAGTTTCAGAGACTACCGGGCACCAAGAGCAGCCAAGGCCCAGTCGGGGGGCGCGGGAGGGCTCACATGCTGGCGAGTCCGGCGCGTTAATTGGTTTCGCTGGTCCATGTTGTTTGAAGATGAAGGCTGTTTGAGCTCTGGGCGCATCCAGCCAACTGCCTAACAATCTTCCACACATACCAGAGCAACAGCTTGTGAAAGCGGCTGCGCAATGTTTGGCACCGGTATCACTATTCTTTGAAGTTTGACTTGATATTGTGATATAGGTATGCACAAGTCAGATCTAAAGTTCTATTAGTTGAATCTTGCCTTAATCAGACTTTGAATCCATCAAGTAGGTTCAGATAGAAGACCTTTGTCGATCTCTATTTTTCCCTAGGGCTCCATGTGCCTTCTCAGAAGGTATTTGGACCCTCCAAACCCGCCCCAAACACCTTCTCAGAAGGTGCTTGAAGCCCTATAGGGTTTATATTCACCTTTTAGAGACAAAGGACCAAGGTGCGACAATCCGCAATATATCTCCTCAGTCCAGGACCCTGAGAATACCGGCGGTTGAAAACCGTACAAACCAAGCGGTTTTGGGATGTTCATGTCCATGATGTGTTTTTTTTCTGATTCCCACTCCGCATATCCAATCAGCATGCTCGTGCGTCGCACGGCAGGCGTGGGGGACGACCAGCATGGCTGGGCGGCAGACGGCTTGAGCGCCTCCCGCTGGCATGGTGGCAGCGGCCTGGCCATCGACCAGAGGGACTGGCTGGAGCCGCGCCAGCCCGGACTGGTTGGAGAAGGATTTGTCTTTAAGGAGTTGGTTTCCAATCAACGAATGGCTTGCTCAAAGGCTGCAGTCTAAATGAGGCGTTTCTTCATTGTTTAGTTCTAGGTATACAGCTTACATGACCAATACCTTTCAAGAGGCTGTATGGAGTATGGACATGTTCACAGAATCTGATGTGAGCATTGAATGGCAGCTGCAGTGCTTGGAAGAGCCGAGAGTGGTCTTGTTGTGGTTTGTACCGTCCACACCCTATCCCCTTAACTGCAGGATTGGGGTAGTGGCCTGCCTGTCCGACCCTCGCATTGAATGAAAGTATTGCTGAGGCAACCGCAGCTGGAGTCAAGTGTGGCCAGCCAAAGGGGCACAAGGACAGTGCGAAGCAGAGACTGCAGTAGTTCCTGCGCGCACAACCATACCTAGGTGCCCTAATATCAGTGTAAATGCGTGGCTCATCCGACCTGGACCAGACTCTCCATTTCTAACTAAGGACTCTTTTTGGCCCATCCGACACCCTCTGAATCCTTGCCCATCCGGACTGGTCCCGCGGCACCAGTCACAGGAGCTCGGACCTTGAGCAGCCAGGTGGGGCGGGGACCGGTCGGCGTGGGACGGTCTGGGTCGGACCCCATTGAGATAGGCCGGAGAGGCCTGGACGCAAAGCGTGACGCTTTGCGTCGTGAAACCCCAAGATGGTTTCAAAGACATGTCAAGACCACTGCACCAAGATGGTCGTCAACCTTTTCTTTGGCCTTGGCACGCCAAGAAAACAAGTTCATCGCTCGGGGCCTTCTTGTTGGCCCCTTCTTCCACCTTAATTCCACCACTGACCTTGGAATCTGGAAACCCGCCCACCGCAGGTTTCACACGGCTCTCCACCGGCTCAGGTCTCGGTGAGCGTGGCCGTGGACCTGGGCCGTCGGCAGATCTTCTTCGCCAGCGACGGGCAATGGGAGGCGGGTCGTCCGGTCGGAGCCGGAGCCGTAGGGTGACAGTCACCAACCCCAGCATCCACAGCACACGTTACGCAACACGAAGTGGGAACACATCGGTCCCGTGGATGGCATGGTGGAAGACCACTTTGAACTACTTTCCTTTACGAACAGGGTGTTTTCCACTTCCATGTTCGTGAGTCGGAGTGTGCCGGTGAAAAGTGATGAGCTGCGGAGTGATTTAAATTGAGACGATGGCGGGGGAGGATGGAAGAGTGTGGTTTGCCACAAGAGAGGCCCGGTGTTTTCTCGGAGGTGAACGCCTCCATTGTATCCGGTCCCCCTACTAGGACTTAGGTCATACCTTCTCACAAGGTACCTGAAGCCTCTTGGCGCCCACATGAAAATGTCTCCCGTCATCTCCACTCTCACACTCTCAGAGCTACTTGTGGATCCTTGGGGCTTCAGAGTAACGAGTGTACCGATCGTGTGGTGAAACTCACCAGGTCGTGTGGTGGTTCTTGCTAAGCTCGGAGATCATCAGGTGTTGATACCCAGATACCACAAGACCATGGTGCATGTGAGTGGTAGCTCTTGGTGCTGGGGTAGCGTCCCTTGCTTGTCCTCCCCACCGCATAGCTCCGCATGCCCTGCACAGCCTGCCTTCACGGCAGGCACAAGCTGCCTTCACGGAGGAGGAGTGGGATGGACCAGTTTGTTTTGCTTCGTCCCACCATGGTTCTTGCCTGGCAGAAAGGGGCAAGAGATGGTGTCAGAAGTGCTTTGGACATATTACTTCATATTAGTAAGGCCAGGAGCCCCTAGTAGCGTCCTTGCTCCTAATAGTAAGGCCAGGAGATGAATGCCTTGGAGATTGGTTGGTCAGTTTCTATGATTCTTGGAGCAGGCGGAAAGACTGTCAGCTCATTCAGTGATCGATCCCTTCAGCTACCTTCAGCTCACACAGATCGATCCCTTCAGCTCGTCCGTCCGCTTCGCGGGCAGGACATCCCTTTGGGAGTTGCCCTCTATCCAGCCATGTCCGTGAAGGGCAAAGCCGCCTTTTGCTTTGGCCCCTCGGATCGGGGTTCACCCCCCCAGCCAGACCCGCCGGGGTGCCGCGTCCTTAAACTGGGCCGAGTCGAGGTGGAACTCTTTTTTGGAACTCAGGTTGGGGTGCTTTTGGGAGGTCCTACCGTTTGAATCTCATCCCCCTCATTTTCCTGGTGCCGCAGGGATTGGTGGTGCAAGCCATTTGGATCATGCTCCGGACTTGGGCTAAAGAGTTATGAAGATCAAGAAGAATATGAAAACGAGTTATGAGTCATGAGTCATGAGTAAGTAAGTTATGAGTAATAAAATCTAAAGAGTTATGAGTTGAAGATTGTTTGCAATAGGCTCCATCGGAACACAACTGAGAGTCTTTGGTGAGAAACATGTTCCCTCTTCCTACTCACCCACACAAGTGAGTGGTCATGAGTGGACACCCATGGACACCCTACCCTACCCTCTCACAAGCACAAGCACCACTGTTCCGCCCTACCGCTCCTTCGGTCCAAGGGCCTGAGTTCCACCACGGCCCGCCCCCCTTCGGCAGCTTCTCCCGGTGGCCCAACATCTTTGGCATCTCGCGGATTGACATGCCACGCATCGGTGCCTCGAGAGCATCGCCTTCCACAGGGTGGTAGGTTTGGACGCCTCAACGATAAGAGAGCAACGACCAGGAAACATGAGGACCATGATGTTTGTTAGCTTTTCTTGTGGCGGGAACGGTTAGCTCAAAAGACAATGTCAACTTCTGAAGTTCTGAAACCTTGTGTGGAGGCTTTCTGCTGTAGTAAGGAGTATAGCATTGGACCTGATTTCTTGTGCCCTCCAAAGCCTGAGGTGATGAGGAGATCTTGCAATTGTACAAGGAGAGACAAGCCACCCATTGCCATCTCTTGCAGCTGATGATCGCACGGAAGGTTTGAATGAGGTGGTCCGGAAGGATGTCCTGCAAAACTTGCGACTAGGTCCGAAATTGCACAATGATCGGTTTTATACATATATATATTAGAGTATATTTATAGTACACGCATAACCCGAAGCTTGGGACACCCCGGAATCTTGGCCAAAACAGTGTACGTTTCCTTTGACTATACTTGACAGATACATAGCATGTACTCTGTCAGGTTCGTGTGTATGTCAAGGTGGACGGGATTGATGCCTTGGTCCCTGCGTGTTTGGATTGCATCAGATCTACTCTTGACATGGTCCCTTCCATCCAGATAGGTGAAAGATGTGTGATAGGTCCCTTCCTGCATCACAGAGACACAGACATGCCCGCACGCTGCCAGCCTCTTTTGCTGAACAACCGCCTGCGTGCCAGCCCGGACCGGTCGTTGCTTTTTCGGGCGCGGACGGGCCCGGGGCACCGCCCATGGCCGAGAAGGAGAAGGAGTCGGTGCCGCCGATGCGGCCGGTGCCAAAGGAAGTGACGCTGGGACGGCCGGAGAGGCTTGGGGCAGTCGTCTCATGGTAGAACCGAACTCCGAACTGAAATTTGCGCTGGGGGAATCTCGTGGTAGAAGCACGGTAGAGTGGTTCTTGGATGATTTTGATGGCTGGTACCTGGTGAAATGAGCTTCTTCTAGTTATATATTATATACTAGTTCGTGTTTTGAGATGCCTTGCCTTTTCCGTAGCGTATCCGCAGAACAGACGGTCCACACAGTAAAAACATGTAACAACCGTCTTCGTTTGGGGTGACTGTGGGCGATGTCGAGTAAACGCATGGTGAGTCAATATATATATAGAGAGAGAGTGAGAGAGAGATACCCTTGCTCCCACTGCCTGGAACTAACATGGAAGTGGAATGAAAACTCTCTCTTTGTACAGGAAAATGCATATAAGGAACATTGATTTTTTTCGGCCATGCCATCCACTTCCATGTTAGTTCCAGGCCGTGTAGTTCAGTCCATCCACTTCCAGGGTATGTATCATGTTCTCCGCAACTGGCTGGCGAACGGGCTCCACGTGCCCCCTGCGTCCTTTCCACCGAACTAGGTCAACCACTTGGCAACCTTCCAACCCAATTTAACATACCTGCATCCTTAGGAAATGGGCCCAAGGCCCCCCCAAGCATAATCCAGGGTAGGGGGGTAGATCCGGATAGATGACCTCCCTCACAGGTAGGAGGTATAATTCCCTAGGGCTCCAACCATATCCTCAGAAGGTGGTTAGACCCCCATGGCACCCACCCCAACCATCTTCTCAGGAGGTAGTTGGAGCCCTAGGGATTGAACGAGCTTTGACGTATCACAAACATCACAAACATCACAGCACCACAGAGCAACGACGTAGTGCTGAGCGCTGCGCCCGTCTGCATGTCCCGTCGGCTCTGAGGAAGATGCTTTTTGTAGTGCTGAGCGTGTTCGCCTTCATGAACTGCATGAGTGGCACTTTTGTGCAGGCTGGCCGGTGCAGAGGGGGAAAACTAAGTGAATGCGATCGATGTGTGGTTTTTAGATGGTTTCAGAGGGCACAAGCCGCTCATTTCAGGTTGATGTGCAGGGTGGTTTCTGATGATTTCTCGCCATCCAGCGCGATAGACGACCAAGTGAGATTAGGACGCTCTCAGTGACTTGTAATGAATTATGGAATCCATTCCGACGAAAACAGGATGGACGTGGGATAGGAAACGTGCATGAAAGCTGCATAACCGATGGGGGCCGACCCCATTCAAGGCCATGTCCCGGACGGCTAGACAAGATAATTGGTGTTTTTGTCTATTTGGCACTCCAGCCCCTACAGGGTTTATTGCAAACCTTGAAGAGTCCAACTGGACCTTGGGCGCTTCCACCGGGCAGCGCCACCCAGGAGTGACACCTTTTTTTTCGCACGCACCGAGCGTTCTAAACGAACGGCGACGTTGGTGGGAGTTCCTCCCTGATTTTACAGGGGGAAAAGGTTGAGGAACTGATTCCATGGTTTTCTTGGCAGTCCATGCAGTTGACGCGAGTTGGGCGCAACATGTTCCGTGCACCTGCGGATGGCTCTGGAGCTTGTTTCTTTGAATCACCAGGTCCTGGTCACAACGATCTTCTGCTCACTCGCACTTTTTGGAAGCAGTAAGCAGGGCAAATTCTTGAGAACCGGACTGGGCCAGATTGTTGAAGTTTGACCCTTGTCAAGCTGCTCGAGAGCAGGGCAAGTGGGGCCTGCAAGAAGATGTTACAATGCTCGCTCTCTACAGCCACATTTGGCTCATTCTGTGCACGCCAAGCACTGTAGTAGTACACACTGTGCGAGTGGGCGGCGAGGGACGTCAACATGAATCAGTATGCATTGTCAAAGTTGCGCCAGTGAGACAACATATATATATATATAATATCACTAGACTATACATGTTGTTTACATAAGATCCTGAACAAACATTAAGTTCCTGACGGAGCGACGGACCAACCAACCAACCAGCCAGCCAGCCAGCCAACAACTGTTTAGAGAAGAGCAACCAAACGGGAGCAACAAGTGAACAAGTGTTGACATTCACAGGGCAACAGCTTTTTTTCCAATTTACCTATACCCAGACACTCTACCATTATCCACTGTATCCAGCTACATTGGGGGGTTGAGGGGTCAATGGGGTGGCATACGTTCCCATGGAGTGTTTGGTAGACCGCCTCAACGTTGCAGGACTCAAGTTCTGTGATCGACCAACTGTTCGGGCAGCGACCGACTGCTGAACCAATGCAAGTCCGAGCGGTGTCAGGGACCTTGTTGGCCGAGTTTGGCGAGGAGGAGCTTGCAGACCTTTGGCTTAGAAAGGCAATCACTGGTCCGATGCTTTTTCTTTTTGGGGGCAACTAGGTCGTTGAACCAGGATAAATCCATATAAATCCATAACCTTTTGAGATAAACTATATAGTTAGAGTGTTTACATGATACCCTCACTATAGAACGTCTACCATTTTAGAGCTGCCCTGGGGGAGTTGGCTGAATGCTGTTGTTTTGCTTTGCACCGGCATGAAATCAATCACCCCAAGCGGCCCTTGTTGAAGAAGTGTGGAAGTGGAACGGGCGAGTGCCATGTGGGTCATGTGGGCAGTGGCCAAACCGCTTACACAGTTGAACCCAATAGAAAGAGTGGATCATGAGCACCAAAAGGATCAAACAGAATCCCTCAGGCCCTCAGTGAACGCATGTGAACGCCATTTTCTTCATGCTCTTTATTTGCGCTCGTGCGCTTGCGCGCCTCATCGGCTGAAATACACAGGACCTCATCCACCGCGGCACCGTGGTGTGCGACCTCAAACGCCTCCTGCACCGCCGGATGGTGGCGCCGCCACGTTTTCGCCAACGGCTCTTGGACGCCAGTGGCGAGCTACCGGACGAGACGCCACTGCGAGCGGATTGGCCCCTTGACCGCGCTCTGCGCGGATTGGTGTTCGGCGTGCAGTAGTAGTTTTGCTGCGGGCGCGCGCAGCACCGTGCTGCCGGCTCCCGAAATGATGCAAAAAAGCCTGGTCCGGACAATCTACTGTAACTAAGAAGTCTCTCACTGGTTTGATGACTTGCTATTTCTTTTTTTTGAGCCCCTCCGCGATTCTGGGAGCCCTGCTGTGCCATATTGTTGACCTGGCACTGCCTGGGGAAAGAATTTTCCCACCTGGATGAAGCCCGTCAGATGTAGCCTTGAACCTGTTGAGGGGATTGGGGACACCCCACTGTAACACCCCACTGTGCAAAGCTTCAGCAAGGAAAAGGGAAAATCCATGAACATCCATCAAAACCTCTCCAAACTGGTGTGTTCTGAGAAGTTGTCACACCACCTGCCAGGATATGATGTCTCAAGTACCGTCACTTTCAAGAACCTTACAGCAGTTCAGTTGAGGTGGGCGTGGTGATCTTTTTCGGTAGGAATCCCCACCACTCGACTTGGTTCGGACTCTTAAGGCCTGAAAAACAAATTGTTGTTTGGAACTGGTTTGCCCGAGGAGAAGTGTGCAGCTGCTGGTCTTGGGCTTTTGCCCACCAGATTTCGAGCTCCAAGAGCAGTTGGTAAACAAATCTGAGACAAATCACATCAGATTTGTCGAAATGCTACTTCGAAAGCCACTGGATCCCAATGCAAGGAGCGACGCTGGTATGCCACTGGCCCTTCACATGGCAGCTCATCAGGGCCATTTCGAAGTGGTGAAATTGTTGCATGAGGCCAGCGGTGAAGTCAACGCTACGATGGAGCGTGGTGAGACAGCCTTGCATTTGGCTGCGGATTCCGGCAACTTCGAAGTGGTGCGATTCTTGATTGAGGCAGGGGCCGATAAAGACGCGGCCCGATCAGATGATGGCAAGACAGCCTTGCACTTTGCAGCGCTCAGGGGGCATTTGCAAGTGGTTCAATTATTGGTGGAAGCGGGTGCAGAGAAAGATGCAGCCACCTTTGACGGACACACCGCCTTACACTACGCCATCTCATCGGCAGACCTGACGTGCGACACAAGCCCTGACATCGTACAGTTTTTGCTCGAGGCCAAGGCTGCTAATAGTACCACAGGGACAAGTGGCGAGAGGCCTTTGCATACCGCAGCAAGAGGGGGCTGCACTGAGATCGCCCAGTTATTACTGGAGGCTGGGGCCGATCAGAATTCTGTCATGGAAGATGGCGACACAGCCTTGCACCTGGCAGCTGAAAGGGGCCACTCGGGTGTGGTACGGGTGTTGCTTGAGGCTGGCATTCACAAGGACACATGTGGTACGGCCGAGTATGAGAGGGCTTTGCAGGTAGCATTTGAGAAAGAACACTGGGACGTCGCTCGATTGTTAACTGTTGCCGCCGCGAGTGTGAGCTAAATGGATCCATTTCACTCACACGAGTGTGGCAGCAGCGGGTCCATAGTCCATTTGCTTGTGGGAAGATCACACGAGTGTGGCA